CAGACGTGTGCTCTTCCGATCTCCCCAAAACCCCAAAACCCCAAAACCCCTAAAATTATATAATCTCATATTCCAAGTGAGTGAAATTAAATACTTTTATAAAGTTTATACATTTAATTTGAGTATATTGTGCGTGTTAGTTTATTATTCACATTCCACCAAATGAGAGAGATACACCAAATACTGCGGGTTTTTCTGGCTTTTGGAAGTCAATCTAACTGCTGAATTACAGCATTATCAGGTTTTCAACTACTCTTCTATAAACACTCGTTGCTTTGAAGGATGATGAGAAGGAACCAGTGATGATACCCTCAAGGAATTTAACTCTAAAACCTAGAATAGTATCACTGAAGCCGTCCAATGATCCCTTTAGTTCACTGAATAATGTGAGTCTTCTGCTTGGTCTTCCAACATATCCAACTGATAGAGTTTCTTTCCTAGCCATTGGAATATATTGAGTGTAGAATGAGTGAATATCATGATTGTAGTTAGCTCCATAACAAAAGTGTATATCTGTAGTATGAGGCTATAAATTTAATGAAAATAATATAGTGCTTACAATATACATCATTTCGAAACCTGCAATAAGCTTTGAGCTTAGAGATTGCATCATGCTAAGTGAATATGAACCAGCTCCGAACTTATATGAGATGTGAGAATCATTGAATTCCTTCATCAATTCGAATTGCAAATGTGATTTTTAAACATCCTAATCCATGAAGAAACCCTCTGCTTTCAAAGATGTTTAGTAACCGAGATTCAAGGAACCACTGAATTCAAGCTTGCCAGTTGAATCAGATCTAGTGGAGACAAAGCTCACTTCATCTTAAGCGAACATTGCATTGGGATTAACGACAGAACTCAAAGCTGTTTGGAGCTCAAATTTATTGGCTTTTGTGTTGGAGAAGACCCATGATCCTCCCAATTGAAATCTTTGCGATAAAGGTGCCATCAATTCAAATTTTACTCCATCAATAGGCTCTACCATAGATAGCATCTTTAATCCCATTGTCATTCTCTAGAAAGGAGGTGGCTTTCTGAAAGTATTATCAAAAAAGGTCTTACCTGATGGTTTTACCTTGAGCTTTCATTAGCATCTCTTGAATTTCCTCTGGATCGGGTGGCATGCCTCCATCAGCATTAGCAAAGATTTGATCTAAATCCTGAGCCCCTCTCTCAGCTCCAGTTTATCCTTCGCATTCAGCCATGTTTTTATTTTGAGTCTTCATCAAGAACAATGAGTTCGAGAGTAATAGTGAAGGTGCAAATATTTTGCTTCCGATCATCTTTAATTAAATATAATACAATGTGGTTATAATTTATTATATACCATCCTTTTTATTACTTATTTTAATTAAGACTTAAGGGGTTTTGGGGTTTTGGGGTTTTGGGGTTTTGGGGTTTTGGGG